ACGGTAGCTTGCCAGACTCTGCCGTGCAGGTGGAAATACTCTCAGTAGCTTGCCAGGCTCTCAAAGAGGGATGGAGGAATCAAACCCAGGGCGGCCGCTTGCAAGGCAAACGCCCTGCCCACTATGCTTTTCTAATAATTATAGAATACTTCTGATGTTATTATCAAAGTCAGATTCTATTAAGTGAGTCAGCAATTGGGATTACTGAAATCACTAGGTGAGTGCAAATGCCATTTTCGCTTTTTCTCTTAATAAATCTTATTGTGTTTCCATTGGTTTGCAACATTTTATTTTTTTGTAGAATAGCTTCTTACACCTCCACGTGTGCGTTAGCACCATAGCAACCAACTACAGATGTCCCAGCACTGTCTATCAGAACCATTCTACCCAGTTCTTCCCACCCCCTATACCTTTTCCCTCTGGTACTCATATTTCTTTCAAGAGTCTAAGAGTTATTTGTTGTTGTTGTTTTGCCAGTTCACTAGCTTTGGTTATTTACACACCATATGAGTGAAACCATCTGGCCATTGTCTTTCACTTCTGTAGGAGTGTGTTATTTCATACATCAACATGTGCTTACAAAACTTCTGCCTTGGTTCTCCCCAAGACTCCTTTACTAACAGTTCAGAATAGTTCCCAAATTTCTTAGTTCCTTACATAAAAAATATCCAAATTATCAACCAATTGCACACACCAGGATTTGGGGATGAGGGTGGCATTTGGGTAGGAGGAGATTACTCCTGATGATAGTTAGGTACTCTGGTACAAGGATTGAACCTGGTCCTCCTGCATGCAAAGCATGTTTAGCTAGCTCCTTTGAGCTATATCTCCAGCCCACCACACCAGGATTTTTTCCCTTCAAGTTTCTAATGTTTTATTTCTAAGCTATACAACAATGCAATCTAGAGAATTCTATCAAGATTTTCTTGAGCCAGTAAGCAAAATTACAAATTTTAATGGATCTTTGTATAATTTGTGGGAGCCTCCCAAGTAGTGCTCAGGGGGTGCAGTGGCCACTCCCGGCAAAATGCAGCCAACCAATCTGATAAGTCTATGGCTTTGGGCCTCACAATGCAATGCCCCCAGCAGTGCACAGGGGCCATGGGGTGCAGGAGATTGAACTCTGAAGCCCTAAGTAAGTATATAAATTTTCTACATGATATAATACATTAGACATGTTATCCTAGATCTCTTTCTAAAAGTTAGAGCAACCTAAACCAATTTATTAAACATGTTGATACTTACCTGCACAAAATCCTGCTAGGCACTACGGGCACATCATCTCTGTTCTCTAGAGACACTACCTCGCATTCAAGTTGAAAGATCAAAGCAAGAACTGCTATCTGAATTTTCCTGTGCTTCTGGAGTGACAACCAATGGCATGAGTTCATCTTCTTTTAGAGGTTCACTAAAGGACCTGCCAGCCTTCTCATCCCTAGCCCTTTGTGTAAAACATAAAGTCAGGAAATGAGATGTCATTGTCCTAAGCTATTCAGCAAAGCTCTCAATGGCTCAACTCACCTAAGTCTTCCTCTTTTATTTTCTTCCTTCAATCATGACTTTTGCAAGTGTTTTATGATGATATTTTTAATGAGTAAAATAATCTGGAAAAAACATTTTTTTTCAGTTTTTATTTCAATAAAACAAAAGGTTACACTACTGTATAAAGTATTGCACACGGAGAACATTTACACAAATATACAAAACTTCAAAAACTAAACTCCAGTTTATTTCCATAACCTAAAAAAAATGTAGAGAGCACATAAAAATATCCAAAGTCATAGTTTATTCTTTAGGAATGTAAACTATAGGATTACAATTAGAAACAAAGTATATTTACTATGAAAAGAGGAGTACCACTACACTATTAGGAGATAGTAAATATATAGCATACTCCACATAAAAGAAAGCAATGGTATGTGAAATAGCATTTTGTATTTATCAGTGGAAACTTCATCAAGAAACTGGTACTATAGAACTGTACTATTAGAAAAGCACAAAAAGATCTTCCAAAATATTCAGTGCTAGTCTAGAGATAGACACAAGTTACAAAGTACAGAAGACAAAGAATTTGTGTTCACTGATGACAAATTTAACAATATTTAACATTAATGTGAGTAATTCAAAGTACTATCAATTTACTAAGCAAGAAATCTAAAGTTACAAATTCATGCTAACTAAAGGACTAAACATTTTTTCTTTCCAAGATTGGGGAAATACATTTTTTCTTTCCAAGATTGGGGGCTGGAGCGATAGCACAGCGGGTAGGGCGTCTGCCTTGCACGCAGCCAACATGGCCGACCCGAGTTCGATTCCTCCGCCCCTCTCGGAGAGCCTGGCAAGCTACCGAGAGTATTCGATATGCCAGACACAGTAACAACAAAGTCTCCAATGGAGACGTTACTGGGCCCGCTCGAGCAAATCGATGATCAACGGGAGGGGGAAATACTATTACACATTAATTTTTATATACAATGCTTATTTAAAGTACCCTCAAATTATTCTTTTTTTTTAAATGGTCTTTTAAAAATATTTTTAGTAATGGCATTTAACATATCTATTTCCTTGGTATGCTTCCCTTGACTAAAGTGTAGATTTATTGTGCTTATGAACTTAAATGTTAAAGAGCCTTAATTTCAATATTTGCCTAAAATTGTGACAAAGTACATTTTTGCTTTATAATTTAACACTTTTCTTCCAAAATAGGCAAATCCTCTAAAGTGGCTTTATTTTTAATCTATCTTGATTTAAAAATATATTTTCTGTTCATTCAATATTTTGTTCTTAAATGAGCAAAGTGTACTGAGTACTTACTTTGTGATGGAAAAGCACAATGAAAATTTCAAAACAAACTCTGCATTATTTAAGAATTGAGAATTCCTACTTATACATCTATAACACTGCCTTAAAAGAGTTCATGATGGTTGGTAAACCAGGAATTCCAGGAAGTTCATTGCCTTATGTCCTATGGAACACCCCCTGAAGTCAATTTTCTCTCCTTTTTTGGACTTTATAGGGCAAACACTGGAACCCGGCTTTATTCTAGCAATAAAGGTTTATTATATGATATACTGATGATAGATGACAATATGGTCGCATCAACATTTTCTGGAATCTTACTTCCAAAAGACATTGTAACTTTCAAATTTGTAAAGGTAAGTGGGAAGAGAGTATCAGAGACAACTGCAATTGCATAACCATAATCAATACAATCTAAAATAGCTTATAAAAAATTTCATAGCTAATTCTTAAAATAGTGGCCAAGGTGGCATAAAGGAATCTTTCTGTAACATAATTTCATAATTCAGAAAATCAATTGTAGCCTAGTTTCAGAATTGTTCCACTAAGAAAACTTTCAGAGATTTTAAAAAGGAAGATATTCTTGTAGATTTGGTGTGCAATGTATAAAGGGTGGCAGCCCTTTTGGATTTAAAATTACAGGCATTGACAGTTCTGATTCAGTTTACAAAAGAATTTTTAACAGAATCAAATTTCTATTTTCAAAAGAAAAATACAAAATGTTAGATTTTCACTGTAAAGGTATATGAGAATCATTAAACGTCTAGAAATAGCCAAGCATCAATGTTATTAAAATTGATTAGTTGCTAAAGACAAAGGTTACAATAATCTAGTATATAATATACTTGATCTTGGGTGGTGGGAGCACTGAGAAATTTAAATATTAATATAAATAATTTATTTGCACCCTTTTATTCTCAAACCTTAACAAGCATAAAAATTGCTTGAGAATCTTGTTCAAATGCAAATTCTGATTCAATAAATCTGGCTGAGTTCAAAATTGCTTGTCATTTGACGTCAATGCCACTAAGTGGTCCTTGGACCTCATAAGTGACAAAGACCAAGATGTATCATCATTATTGTCATTATATTTTATTATTTACCACTAAAATATGATCTCTTGTTGCCAGCTAGTTCTACAGGATTTTCTAATCATATCACCTTGCTTAAAATACAAATCCTTTAAATAAGTTCTTAAGTCTCTTGATATTGTTAGTAACTATGCCTAGGGGAAAATTCTTTATTAAAGAATTACAAAAAGATAGTAAGAAATTCACAGTGACGTTTTACAAATGGTTTCAGTTGTGCACAGGATTCCTATTAAATTAATAGAACATCAACTTTTACTGGTTGCTTTAGGTGGCTTTTTATTAATCGCAATTTGTGCCAATAAACTCTATAATATTACTGGAAGTAAACAAATCAAATTTCTTTATGTTATAAAACATAATTTTATTCGGGGCAATGAATAAAAATGACTTTGTGCTCTTTGAGAAAATTGATTTAAAATGGAAGGGGGGCTTGGGGTGGTGGATGTGTTAGTGGTAGAGCGCATGTTCTGCATGTCTGAAGCCCTAAAGGGACAGATCCCAGCAGTCTGCTCCCACCACTGACTGATCAAAATAAATGGCAGACAAAGCAGTCATGGGCAAAGCTGCATTCCACATGTAAGTACTTTCGTATTGTCCAAGACCTACACATTTTTCACATACATGAGCTCTGTCTAAACATGTACAAGAGGACAGGAAGCATTTTCAGTGTGATCACAGAGATGGTGAATAAAACAAAACAAAACAAAAAATGTGTCCTAACAGGTAGGGAGCTCTGCTGGCCTTTCTCCCAGCTGACATACTGGGGTTTCTCATTCATATTCTGAACAATGAATTAAAAATACTAGATTCTCAGACTAGCTGTAATGTCCACTGAATAGCAAACTTCAGAGTTTAACATCTCTCAGAGGTCAAAGTTCCGTACAGCTACATTCAAATTTGTTTAGCGAGATTGCCCTTGATATCCTTCATTTGGGGCAACTACATAATTTTTCTATCATAATAAAAACATTTAAAACAGGCCTATTCACCAAACAAGAAACCCACTTGATTTTTTTCATGTTTCACAATTTTTACTTTAAGAACATGATCATAAAAAAACAACATTGGCTAGTTTATAAATGACCCTTGTCCATATTTCATTTATTTACTATCATAACTTTTACCTAGATAAAAGTTTACCTTATTTCCTTCATTTGCAGACATATAATTCAACGTTATATAGCTGACACTGGGGCCTTGAGAGCTGCCGAAGCTCTACAATGATTTTCAGGAACTCTTCAATGATGGGTAGTCTGAATTACGGAAAGTCAAACTAACTAGGATTTCTGACGCCCAGCAGCAGAAATAGGTCAGTTTTATGGCCTATTACATCTTAAGAATTAAAAGGGATTTTTACTTGCCAAATCCAGGTCAAACAGTTCAAAGCAACATACCTATGCATAATCTGATTTTTCATATCAATGATTAGTCTAGGTACTGGGTTAGCAGGAGCTTTCCAGCATCTATAAAAACTCTTTTAACCTTAAAGATGATCTGGTGATAAATACTTGTATCAGGCACTTTCTATACACATCATTTTAGTTTTTCAGGTGCCTATTTTTCAGCCTGGCTTGAAAAACCGCCAACTGCAAACTTCTTGGAGTTGTACCTCTGCCTCATTTAAAAAACAGTTCCCATACATGGAGATTCTCTTTTTTACTCTGAAGACCAACATATAGCTACCAAAATAGCAGTATTTGGGGCTCTGGGTTGTCTGTCTTCTTTTTTTCCCTCTTCTTTCTCTTCTTTCTTTTTTTAAATGTCACAACCTTACATGATATTTAACCCATCTGATCAGACAATCCATCAAAATGTATTATTATACTGACAATCTTTAGGGTAACACAACGACAAGAAAAAAATGACTGAATTAAGGGGGTAAGAGGGTAGAAACACACTTAAGAAATCATAAAACCATATCGTAACTACAACCTAGACATTATTTCCTTCATCAAGTCCAGGAAGCCTTCAGCTATTAAGACATCAGGGCTCCTGTCAGAAACAGGGATCAAAGACCCTGAGAACTTTCATAAAGAAGCAAAGTTGTAATTCCAGAGGCTCTGATTAGGAGAGAATCAATTACAAATTAATCTGTGGACAGAGTAATGCTAATACTAGGAGGTCTCTGCTGACCTGATGGATGTTTCATTGGAAGTTCAGTCCTTTCTGAAACATAAATAAGTTTTTCTTCTTGGAGACTACAAGCGGAAAACCTATTGGCATCTGTCCCAACCCCACAGCCAACGGTAGATGATGGGTTGTGTGGGACAGTGACACCACTGACTTGTTCAAAGGATTTGCTAAACACAGTCGCGGCAGTCTTAGCCAAACTGTGGCTACTAGGTTTAGGCAGGGACTGGCTGGTTGTCAGGGTAAGTCTCTTCAAAGAGAGAAGCTCGAGATTCTCACTTTGGGCTCTCTGGGTCTGTTTTCGAGCAAAATGATCTTTGCAAAACTCCCCTGCAGTCTCTTTTTCTTTTCCTCCAGTTTTGCTTCCTCCTGACCGCCTCTGAGTCTTTCCTATACTTGTCTTGTTATTAGAATTGTGACTACTGTTTGATAAACCCGACTGGCTGGTACTAGACGCAGCCCTCAAATAAAATCCCTCGTCAACTTCAGATATCTCCATCAGTTCTTCTTGACCTGTTAATTCTGTATTTCCTAAACAAAGAAATAACAAAGATTAATTAACATTAAAATTTTTAAGCAATTTTGTTCAATGATTAATACCAAATCACTTTAACTTAAGTAATTAAACTTTGATGTTATTACATAAAGCAACAGATTATAGAACAGAGCCAAAATCAAAACATTCTATAAAATGCAAACATAGTTCATTGGGATTAAATGTTAATTTAGAGTGCATTAAACACAAAGCATGCCATAAACCACATCCCACTGTGATTTTAGAAAGAGTTCTCTTACTTTTCATGCATAAAATCAGAAATAATTAGGAAAAATACCACCCAGAAAAACTGGTGGCAATCTCTCCCTTAATAGTAAAACAGTATAAATTCAAAGTTCTTACCAAGAACTTTAAAAAAATGATACTAAGAGATGTTAAAGATTTTTTTAAAGATTGCATTTTGCTTTCTAGATTATTTTACTAAGATTAAAAAAAAGGACAATAAATTTCAAACTTGTTAAATGCTTATGTATCAAAGATGATAAAAATTCAGAATGGGAAAATAACCTTAGATCTCAAAACACAAGCAAAAAATTATTTTAAAAGCAATTTTCTGCCTCAGTCTTCATAACAATTTATTCAGAGATGATATAGGTATGACCATTCAAAGAGCATTAGAAGTCATTGAGAAACTGTGGTGCATAATTCATGCATTTTGATTATTAGATGACATGCAAAATTTGTGTGATTGTGCAACTGTTGCTTCAAACATGCAGCAGTGGCCCTCTGCCATGAGATACCTTGGGGTGCAGCTATAAAGTGCTCTGCTAAAACTGCACTCTGCCAGGTGAGTTTATTCCATCCTCCATCATTTTTCTTACAGATTTTTGCCTCCTGATCTCTGGCAAGCCTTTGCTCTCAGTTCTAGGATCTGTGGCTTCCTGCACACCCTGTATATGCTGAGCATCAATCTCTCCTAGTGTTCTGCCTTTTTCCCCATTCCCGGTTCTCTCTCCGGCCACATTTGTGACACTAATCTCAGGAATGACAAGGATGCCCAATTCAGTAGTATCATTATTGTTGTCAGGTTGCTCTAGAATTGAAGATGATAAGACAAAATGATGGCTGAAAACAAAACAAAACAAAAATGCGAAACAAGAAAAACAAAAGATCCAAAACAAATATTGGACAACTGAATGTTATGAATTAAACCAAACATTTCCTGAATTGCAATTTCCATACATTACAATACTCTTGACAGTACTGGACGGTCACATGTTTGAATTTTAAATGACAATGAAAAAACTCACAGAGCATCAGTTGCTATCCGGCTTCTCCCCCACCCGCCCCCTACATATTTGACATGAACCCTGAAGCAATACTTAAAATAAAACCAAACAGAATTCCTGTTGCTTTGAAGATACTTTGTGGCCACCTGAACTTATGGGAAGCCTTAGGAAAATCTCCAAGGATGTAGGGCCCAAACTCTAGCTCTTCTCAATGTGAGAAATCAAGCCACGCCATCCTTTGTGCACATAACATTCTATTTTTAATTAGATTGTTTTGAGCTAACTTAATAAACCATGATATTAGAACAATGTTTATTACTTTATAATACCATGGCTAGTAATGCTACAGGTAGTTCTGTTTCATACACCGTCTTAAATATTAGTAAATATAACATGTTATAACTAAATCTATTCCTACAGACTCCAGTGATTCCACAAATTTAGTTTCATTTGCAACAGTTCTTCCTTTTTTCTTTTTTGGGTCATACCCGGTGACACACAGGGGTTACTCCTGGTTCTGCATGCAGGAATTACCCCTGGTGGTGCTCAGGGGACCATATGGGATGCTGGGAATCGAACCTGGGTCGGCCGCCTGCAAGGCAAACACCCTACCCATTGTGCTATTGCTCCAGCCCCAGTTCTTCCTTTTTTGACCCTGGAAAAAATAAATTTGGAAAAACAAACTGTCTGTTGGCCTTTCTTTTGAAAATGGCCATTGTAAAAGAAACAAAGGAATGAACTGCCTAACTAGTTAATACCTGTAGTCATTTTATTCTGTGTCTTAAATCACAAAGGCATAGTTTTACTTAAAGCTGTCAAGGAAATATCTGTGAAAAACATAACATGACTATATCATGAGTCAGTAATGAAACTTAAAGTTCAAAACAACAGAAGACTATGTAAACGGCATATACATGGCTTTACAAACATAGACTATGCAATTTCAAAAGTTTTTCATGGTAAGATGATCAGGCTCTCACTAATGATACCTATGAAACAGCAACACTCCCAAGAGCCTCAGACTCTGCAGAGAGCATTCCTATCACCTAGGTACTCCTGCTGCCTGGCTCTCACCTTAAACTTCTCACTCAATTAGTATATGTTATGATCCAGGCACTGGGATTTTTAAAAGTTCCCAGGTAACTAATTTGCAAGTTTGAGAACCACTGTTTAATTCTTTCCAATTTAAAAAGCTTAAACGTTTTAGTTGCCGTGGGTATTCCAAATCCAGAAGCAGTATTCACTTCTGGAGATCTCAAATCTTCACATGATCCTGGCTGGTAAGGATTATTTGACTGGTATTATTTGGTGCTTCGTAAGATTGAGACTAAATGACAAATTTCTTTCCTAGACAGACGTGCTGGACACATACCATGGTGCTTCTTGGGGTTTGATAACAAAGGTTTAATGAGATTATAAAGTCCCAACCAAGCTACTATCCATTGCTAACAGCTGTTTTTCAAGTGAGGGCAAGTAAAACCTTACTGAAGCAAACGCCAGAGGCCACTGCAACTGAGAGTAAAACCAGGATGGCACTTTCATGACAGCAACATCTGACCACTTAACATTCTGGAAGCAGTGTGTGCAAAAGATAAACTGTGGAAATGAGTCAGACATAACAAAACCAACGAACATTAAAATTTAACAAAACTTTGAAAGATAAGCATAGGTTGCCCAGTTCAAGAGAAAACAATAACACATTGAAAAACACTAAGTAGGTTTTTTTTTTTGAGAACTTTCACATCCATTATTCAATTATATACCCCAAACAATGAGTTGCTGAATCTCTGAAACAGGCAATTTTATTTCCATTTACATAAAAGGAAACTGAAGTCCAAAGTAAGCTACACAGTGATCACCAGAGAGGGAGCTAAAATGGCAAAATCTTTCATTTCAAATGTCCATTTTTAACAAACAATAAATTCTAACTCTTCAATTCTTTAGTCAGTTTGAGTTAAATGTCCTCTAATATCCTCAAATTAGGATTGTTTGGTAATAAAGATTTGTAATTTTAGGGGAAAAACACCTTTAAAATTATAAGAAAATGGTTACAGAAAGCAGCACCAGGCGATGTATTGCTTATTACCATGCTTACAGAGATAGTGGTAAAGATCCACAGATCAAAAAGCAACAACATTTTAAAATTATTACATTATAAATGGCAAGTAGAAAAATAAGATCATGCTTTCCAGAGCACAACTTCTGTACTGATTCATGTATGTTAGCACTCAAAAATGACCCAAATGGGCAGGTTTCAAAAGGATTATTCAATTCGTCAAAAGCATGTAATTCTGTGCAGAGCTAGAGATTACAATAAACATAACTCTCCAGAAAGTTGAGAGTAAAGAGAAAAGTTTACTCTCTCTGAAAGTTTGGAGAAAGATGCAAACTATATTTGTTGAATGATCTTGCACTCTATTATCTTCCCAACTTCTTCCTTTGAATGGCTCTGTTGACCCAATAATGCATTATTTGGGACCTGCAATGCTCCTCCCAAATAGTTACAGTGTTCAATTTTTTTTTCACTTTTAAAGAAAACAAACAACCCCCCCCCCCCCAAAAAAAAAAAAACCAACCCCACAGGTTTTGTTTTGGGTTTGGGGTGACAACTGGCTATGCTGGGGGCTATTTTGGCTCATTGTTCATGGGTTATTTTCACTAATGCCAGCAATGAATCTGGGGTTCCCTCATGCAAAGCATGTGGTCAGTCATCTCCCAGGCCCAATTTCCTTCTTTCACCTCTTTTCTCAAAGATTTCCCTCTGTGAAGCCTTCCTTGATCATCCCACAGTTTTAATATTTCCATGCACAACCTCATGCCTACATTATCTTAACATTAATCACTCACCAGTCTACAGTCATTTATTTTGTCTACTAGATATCTGTACTCCCACTAGGCCAAGGTTTCTCATTGGTCACTACTATACACACAGGGCTGGAGCGATAGCACAGCCGGTAGGGCGTTTCTCTTACAAGTGGTCAACATGGCCGACCCGAGTTCGAGTCCTCCGCCCCTCTCGGAGAGCCCGGCAAGCTACCGAGAGTATCTCGCCCGCACGGCAGGGCCTGGCAAGCTCCCCGTGGCGTATTCGATATGCCAAACACAGTAACAACAAAGTCTCCAATGGAGACATTACTGGGCCCGCTCGAGCAAATCGACGAACAACGGGAGGGCCTCAAACCTAAAAACCTAAATTTCCAAATTTGTTCTCAAAGGCACTCAAATTTCTCCCTACAAAATTTCTTGAGGCTTTGAGGAGGGGAAAAGAGTGAACAGATTGCAAGTATCTTTAAAACATCACAAAAATCTGGGATTTCTCTCGTGCAATTTTATGATCACAAATATTCATTATGTCACTCATTTTTTTAATGCAATTTTGGCGTCACACATACAAGCATAGGAGGTATGTGCTTTATCACTGAACCACAGCCTATTTTCAAAAAACACTGTCTTAGCATTAGCTTTTATTTTTTTTTAGTAGTTGATCTAGTTTCTAAAAGTTGTATTTTTAATAAAGGAATAATCTACTAATTCATATTATCTAATTCATAACTCTATATTCACACTACTTTATGAGCTTTATAAAGATATTTGGTTATGACACCAAACATTTAGAAATTCATTTGCAAAATAAGCTAAAGCTTGAAAAATAAGTTTAACTATACCTTAAGTATCTGCATAATTTTTGACATTATAAAAATAATTAGAGTAAACATCAAGAGGTCACATTTATACTTTACAAATTG